AAACCTTATAATTGTTTAGTTAATAAAGTATTGTAACGGTTGAGGTATGTGGGAACCTTGTAGTGGTTGAGAGAAGTGTGTAAACTTTATAATGGTTTAGTTAATAAAGTATTGTAACGGTTGAGGTATGTGGGAACCTTGTAGTGGTTGAGAGAAGTGTGTAAGCCTTATAATGGTTTAGGTAAGAAAGTATTGTAACGGTTGAGGTATGGGGAACCTTGTAGTGGTTGAGAGAAGTGTGTAAGCCTTATAATGGTTTAGTTAATAAAGTATTGTAACGGTATTTGTTTAAGTTTCCTAATTGGATTATAAGTGTGTACAGCTTCTAACCAATTTGATCCACATCCCTAAGTGTTATTTAAAACATTGTTTCCAGCTATCCAGTTGGACGTAGTTTCTACAGACGTAGCCCACACCAGCTCAAAAGTCAAACCCCCAAAGTCCGAGGTAGAAAAGTCCCCAGGAGATTCAGACCACGTGTAAGTTTGTAACATATTTTGTGACATCACGTTTAGATTTGGTTAAAACACTTAAAGTAGAGTAATCCTGTAGATTAAGTATGTTGGAATACAGAAAACTAATGATGTGTGTTAGATAGGAGATTATGACGTATGTTAGAAGAGTGACATTTAATAATGTGTGTTAGATAGGAGATTATGACGTATGTTAGAAGAGTGACATATAATAATGTGTGTCTTGTTTGTTTTTTAATTATGCACAAATCTACACAAGGGCTGTCTGAGCTCTGCCCACCACGGGTATCGAAACCCGGTTTCTAGCGATGTAAGTCCGCAGACATAGCGCTGTGCCACTGGGGGGCTAATGTGTGTCAATAAGAGATTTACGACTTATTTTAGAAGTGATAACGCACGTTAAGTGTATAATAAGGAGGTGGCCATATGTTAGCCAAACAGTGACTACAGCTGTGTAATTTTTAAACAGCTTTGATTATGAGAACTTCCTTTTTATTCATACTTTAAACTATCGAGTTTCTTTTTGATTTCAAAGAGTAACAACTACACTGTAATAGAAGATTAACATCTTAGCTGTTTTACTTAGACCTGTGTGAATTTTGAACTATTAATAAAACTGCATAATATTTGACTTTAGTGTACGGGTTCAATAATTTCATACACATTTACGCCCCCCCCCTCTAAAAGCATGTACAATTTGTTCCAAATTATATGTTGATAATAAAAATTGTATGTAGTTTACACAACGTACGCTACGTGGACGCACGTTTGTTACCTCCGCCACCGAAGATGAACGGTGGTTATGTTTTCACCCCTGGGTGTGTGTATTTGTCAGTAAGATTTCTCTTAAACGGCTAAATGGATTTGGACAAAAGTTGGTATACACTTGGATTATGATTAAACATAGAAATGATAGCTTTGGGAGGGTCAAGGTCACGAAAATCCAAAATATCCCTCTCTGTTAACATGGGGACCGATTTTTCACACTAATTTTGCTCTATAACTTAGAACTAAATGATTGTATTTTGATGAAACTCGGTGGATAAGTGTAGAATATTACTCCTCATTGTCCTGCCAATAAATAGTTAGTGTATATTGATAACGACGGACATACAAACACATTTTCGTATTTTTTGAGAGCCAAATATCAACGCTGCGTGACAGAGATTGCGCACTACTGAGGGCCCCTCTAATTTGTTATTTAGTTCACATGTACACGAAAATTACTGCATTATAAATGTAAGTATATTACATTACTTATTCAACATCCTTATCCATAAATGTAAGTATATTACATTACTTATTCAACATCCTTATCCATAAATGTAAGTATATTACATTACTTATTCAACATCCTTATCCATAAATGTAAGTATAGGGATAAGGATGTTGAATAAGTAATGTAATATACTTATACTTACATTTATGCGTAAGGATGTTGAATAAGTAATGTAATATACTGTTACGTCTCCGTTTGTTAATTGATTTTTCCGTAACTTCGTTCCAACGAAACTTTAACGACA